GGAATTTTGTCGATGATACAAAATATACTAGTGTGAGTATCCATATTACACACGGTGCTGATATTATTGAAAGAAATTAAAAGAAAGGGTGAATTAAAAAAGAAGTAAAACAAAATGTACGAACATAATTAAAATCTAAGATTCATCTAGGAATAGTTCAAAGTATGATAAAATATATACATCATTCAAGAACTACACGTTTATTGTGGAAGATGGGTCCTAAAATAATAATAGAAATTTATATTAGAAAATGAATTATATATGGATAGAAATAAATATAATCGCATGTTTTATTTGATTTCAAAATGAAATACTTATAAACATTATGCATTCGATTTGATAATCTTGTACAAAAGTGTGAACATTTTTCACACAAATCAACCTTTAGTACAAAAGCCAATATTTGCGGTTTAATTGATTCTGTTGAATTTTGTGGAGTTCGTACTACAAAAAAAAAATGTTCAGTGAAACTTATCCTTCTTGGAAGTGAATTTGCTGAACCTTTTGAAGTATTTTAGTGGGATTACTACAGTGTAGACTTTGTTTTGTGATTAGTTATTTTCTCCTTTATTTAGAATTGAGGCACCGCTGAAATGCTTGTTGGTGGGATTCATCCATGAAGAGAGTATAATGGGTAGTCTTTTTTTTTTTTTCTCACTATATTTGGTTTGTGTGGATGACAAATGAAAATGAGTTAGTGATCATCAATCTTTGAATGATTATAAGAGTAAAATATGTTATGGGAACTGTAATTCAAATGGATTCCTAAATTTTGAATATGTGATTTTCGTAGTGATGAATTTTCTTAAATTATTAGTTAGTTATTATTAATTAATTTTGAAGTTTTAATTTTGTGGGTTAGTGAGTCCTGCATTAGTTAAAATTTTGGAGTTTTAATTTTGTGAATTAGTGAGCCATGTAAATTGGAAAGTGGAAAGGGATAAGGAGAAGCGGGATTACTGAATTAAAATAAATTTAAAATTGTAATAAAAAAGAATTCAGATTTAGAATGCTTGTGGAGGTTACTCGTCAAAAAAACTTGGTGTCTAATACATATAATTGAAGAATGCGGACGAAACCCACCAATTCATTCCTTGATAATTGAAGTAATTGAGGACACGTGTTAAGAGAATCTCAGTAGTTGTTTCCATGTACACAAAAAGCAACAGTCAATGTATTAAAAAAAAAAACCTATCACTTTATGTGTTATCTATTTTACCTTTCTTGATTAACCACTTTATAACCACAATCCATCATTAATTACACTCATACACCACAAAAAATAAGAATGATACCGCAAAATAAACGAAAAAGGGTAACAGCAAGCTAAAGTTTTGGTAACTACCCAAATAGAGTATCATACCTATGACTTATGGCCCCAAAAAAATCCTATTTTTAATGCTCTTAATTAATTACCTATGAGTGTATAACCATCTGCAGCAACCAACTGAGCAAAAACTAATACAAGAAAAGAAAAGCAAACTTAGTCAATAAAATTAAATTATTTCATGTAACACTAATTTCCATCCATTTTTTTCTTTTTACCTTTTTGTAAAGAATAAAAAACTAGTAATTGCACACACACAGAGTGTGCCATGCCTTTAATAGAAAAATCTAACAAATTCCACAATTCATAATATTTAATTCCATTCCCAAAAATTCAAGCCTTGTTCTTTACTCTAAAACCAATAGTTAAACAAAATGATTGCGTAATATAATTTTAGGTTGTGCTAGGAACTGAGAAAGTTAACTTCTACATCTTGGAGTTTTTTGCCGAAATAATTTTATGTGGTGGTAGGAACTATGAACTAGGAAGGTTGCGTTATTCCCATGTACAACTTGATGTAATATACCGTTTATAATATTTGATACCTGACGGGTATTTTACATACGTGCAAGCTAAAAAATACCGAATTACACCCGTTCACTGCAAGTATACAGATCAACTAGTAGTTTAGGGTATATATCGGGTCGATCCCACAAGGAAGAGTGAACAATTACCGGTATTACTAAAGCTTCTCTATTATTTAGACTATCAATAAATTATAACAAATTTAACCTACTGAAATTATACAAAATGACAAATGAAAGCTCCTTAGGTTATGGTATCCCTAACTACTCATGCAAGTGCTATATTTGGATCATTAATTACTACATCTAGGCTAGTTATGGTGTAATTTCCTTAAACATGTGAAACCTACTTTCGTAGTGAATCAACTATACTCATAACTAATCCATACCTATTTTCATGGTTATGAAATTAGCTACAAGTTCATTTCTTCAATGAAATTACATGAAATGAATCACTAAAAACCACATAAGTGCACCTCTACTTTCGTGAGTGTACTACCTATGTTTAGCACTTCTTAAACTAGTGTTAAATCTCAATTTCCATTGCAGAAACAACACCTTAGATAATCACAATTAATGGTACCAGATTAATCATGATTTAAAGAGCCAAAGTGCTAAATAACTTGCTCAAATCGTAGCAATCAAATAACCAAATAATTAACACTCACAATCATAGAAAGTTCAACCAAACCCAAGGTATAAACTTTAAAGACACATATTAAACACAAAATCCAGAACTTGTATATTAACTAAACTTGGAATCAAATACAAAAGATAAAGAATTGGAAGGAATACAACCCTTGTCACATGAGCTTTCTTCCTTGCCTTCTTCATCCTTCATCTTCATCCTAATCTAGATAATAAACAAGAATGGAAAAGCTACACTACTCTATACTAAGCTAAACTAACACTAGGGAGATGAAAGAGCTACATTTCTGCAGCTTCAAGCTTTCTCCCGTAGCTCTCTCTATTTTTCTGCTATGGACTCCAATCTCTCCTCCCTCTGTTTTTGCAATGCATTTGGCTATTTAATGATGAAAGGTGGTCAAGAAATGAGGATTACATCTCCCTTTTACAGCTGGGAATGTTTCTCACATGTATAGCATCCCATGTGAGTTGGTGGAAGTGAAATTGAGTTTTACGCGTACAGAGCAGCCTTTTCTGACTCTGGTCTGCTACAGTGATCCGAGCTGCTACAGTACCTCGGATCCGTATGGATCCGAGCTCGGATCCACTAACCCAGAAACAACCGAAGGTTCGGATGAATAGTGGATCCGAGTGTGGATCACTTGCTCTGTTTTTGGCCCAACTTCAACCAATCTTTTCTTGATGTTAGAGGCTGAACCAGCTCATGTCTAAAACACGAAAGTTGTAGCCTTTTGAGTTATCTTTCTAATGCATCAAGAATCAGCTCATTTGGATCTGTGTAGGCTGAGATATGACTGAAATACCCTTGCCTGCTCATTGCCCTGTTCCAGTTTCGACCAGTAGAAATTTGCTATTGTAATTCGGCATTTTGACCTGGAAAACCTTCAAACTGGATTTAGATGTCTTCACCAAAGTTGTAGATCTATCGCTTATCTTCAAATTGGTTCAAGAATCATCTTAATCCGATCATTGTAGCTCAAGTTATAGCCGAAATACGAAAATGTGTCAAAACTGTCAAAATACACAAAATTCAAGTAAAAAGTGATAAAAACCTCATTTAATCACTTAAAAGCATTTTTCACCAATTATAGCCAAAATGATTCATATTCTACCAATAATATAACTAAAGTGACTAAAAATAATATAAAATATCATACAATTATTACGTAAATTAGTCACTTATCAATACCCCATGGACTTTCAATGCAAAATATTGAATTCAAATAACCACTTCTACATTTACACGATACCCTCAATCTCCTTTTTTTTTGAATTACAGTATAAGTTTTATTATATGAGGTGTATGAAATCCACTTATTCAAGCTTCATTGTTTCAAATTAGCGTTCTCTGTGCAAGAATTTCAATAGGGTAAATCATTTGCATTGTTTTACTATTCATAATAGAACGATTATTTAAAAAAAAAAAAGATTTTGAATTTGTGCATACATTTTCCTCTTTTTTATTATTAGTGGTACATATTATTTTATGATCATACAAATTATTTGAAGCACTTTGGCTGCCTTAGTTTTTTTTTTTAATGTAATGCATACATGTTTTTCAATTTTCTTTGAATATTTCTCCATAAAATTTCCATATATTGGTTTCCTGTTTTTAGTTGACCCCTTGAGGTTTTTCCATGCTTTCTACTATCTACTGTAGAAAACAGAAAGACGTTTCATGCCTTTTTTTCTGAATCAAGAACATATATACTTATAAAACTAATTTTTTGTCAATTGACTCTTTTCCTTTCTTTCCTCTTTTTTTATGAAGATAATCCTTATACAATTATTTTTTGTCAATTGACTTTTTGCCTTTTTCCCTCCCTTCTTACTGAAAGATATCCTTATATAATATTTTTTAAGATGAATTCTTATAGGTAATTGTTGGATATTATTTTTAGGAAGATATTTAGCTATTTATTCAAGTAAAGGTAATTTAGAAAAACGTAAAGTATTATTGAAGAAAGATTCGATGCCTTCAGTAGAGGGAAATTTTGAAAAGTTGTGGACTAAGTAAGATATAAAGGGAATATGATTTAAAAGTTGCTACTATGGGAACATTTTAAAAACAAAGTTATTTCAGAAATAAACTCTATGTCCTGCATTTATAATGGAAATATATATACATATATATATTCAAATTTGAAGAGTAACTGCCAAAAGAAGTAAGTGCTGTAAAAACAGGCTAAAAAAGTATAACTAATTCAAAATTTTAAACAAGAATTACACAACTAGAGTAAATGCCAAAAAGTAAGTATTAAGTTTTGTACACATAGCATTCGAGATCTTTTCCTTTGGAAAGTAAAGAAATTTTTCCAATAAATCTGTAAACAAGAATAACACGACTAGAATAATTAACTATTAAAAAGGTAAGCAGCAATAAAGAAATATTTGAGTTTCCTTTTGCGTCCAATTTTGCGAGCTTTGTATGTGTAGTACCACCATTGAGTTCCACAGAAGAAGAACAACACTTCAAGGAAGAGAAATTAGAGGAGAAAATAATGCAGTTCTCTAGGAGCCATAGCCCATCATTGTTAGCCTTGCTTTTAATTTGTCTATCAATCCTAGGCAATCTTTTTACCTCTGCAGAAGCAGATTTGATCGGTGATGTTTGCTCTGGCTCAAAGAATCCTCAATTTTGCATCAATCTTTGAGATCAGACCCTCGTTCCGGCAGTGCAGATCTTAAAGGTCTTGGCCAAATTGCTATAGACTTATCTACAAACAGCGCCAAATCAACCAAAGCCCTGGTTGATTCCCTGAAGCAAAACGCTAGCGACGCCAGATTGAAGGGAATATACGATTCTTGCTTGGAAAACTATGGTGACTCCATCGATGATCTTGCCGATGCTACGACAAAATTGGGTTCTGGTGATTATCAAGGCGTGGCTCTTACAGCATCGGCTGCATTGGATGGCCCTGATACTTGTGATGACAATTTCACGGATGCAAAACTAACAGAACCACCAAACCTTGCCGAGGCTAGTCAGAACGTGCAAACTCTAATTGAAGTTGTTTTGGTTATTGCAAATCGTTTGCAAGGAAATAGATGAAGAGACATAAATCTGTGCTTTAATTAGTGCAGTCTATTTGTGATTTCAGTTAAGTTTTGCAACACTGTCACTTCTGGCTTATTACAGATGCAATGATGAAATAAGAGTATTAATTATTTTTTTTTTTGGGGTGTTGTTTAGGTAGATTGACATTTACTATTAATATTGCCAAAAACAAAAGTAGAAAAAGAAAAAACAAATTAGAATGCTTTAATTGCCTAGTCATATTTAGAGTTCATACCCAATATATTTGTTGCGGAAATGCATATGAACAATAAAATTTATTCCTTTATAAGAATAATTGTGTATTAATTTACAAATCTAAATTTCTAATTATCCTGCATAATAGGTTTTTTACTGTAAATTATAAGTCATGTAGTTGATATAAAATTTGTAACAAAAATAAGAATTAAATATCATAATTCTCTCATTTAAAAGATATGTATGGATGGCATTGTAGAATTTTTCTTTTTATTTTTTAATTTTTCTAGAGGGTAAGGGTAGGGGTGGTAACCCCCCCTCCCCCCCCCCCTGCAGGGGGCTAATTTTTCCCCTTGGGGGGTGGGTTGGGGCGGGGACAGGGGAGTATACCCCTGTCCTATCCCCCGCCCCGCCAGTCGTTAAGAAAAATTATATATATAATATTTAATTTAATTAGTTATAAATTTATGATAATAATATTATTAGTTATAAGTATTATATAATGAATATTAGTATATATAATATAATTAATATTATCAATTATACAAATAATTATACATGTCTACTAATAGAATAATATTATTAATTAATTATACTAAATTTACTATACTAAATTCCTAATTACACTTAACACAATAACATTTTTTTCTTAAAAAAAAAAAAGCAATAATGACTTGGTTATTGTATTTTGTCTCAAAAGTCAAAACTTAATTACTTTAATTGTATTTGTCTCATCATGTTGGATTGTATTCAAATAATTATTTTTTAATTTTTTTTTATGAGTTTCAATTATGAAATTATAGTGCATAATGACTTAGCAATGTGTTGGTATTTAAGTACTTAAATTTTGGTTAAAATTTGGCTACTATGCAATTGTAGGACAAATTTTTTTAGCCCCCTCCACAAGTGCCACCTCAACGAAACTAGGGCGAGCCGGGGACGGGCCGTGGGGACAGGGGAAGGGTCCCCCAGCCCACCCCTGCTCTGCTGCTATTCCTAGGTAAGGGTGGAATTTCAAAAGTGTGATAGGTGCAGGGAATTAGAATTCAAAATCTCTAATTTCTGGGTTATTAGATATGTAACTCCTCCTTTTTCAAAAGAATTGTAACTTTCAAAATATGTCTCCAAAACCTCCCAAAATCAATTCCTTCCATGTAACTCATTGAAAATTTCGTCAACTTTATTTAATTTTTTTATTTTTTACAGTCAACTTTTTTTTTAAAATTTTTATAGTCAACTTTATTTATTTTAATAACATTCACCAAACATTGCAGTGGTGTCCTTTGGATTGCTAGTTTTTTAGGAATATAGTTAAAATGTTTCTTTGATACAATTTCCAGTAACCTCTTACCTCATATACTTTAAATCATATATTTTTCTATAAAAACTCCAATCCAAACAAGGTGCTGAAAATATTTACGACTCCAGATTAAAAGTGCATTAGGAGTTTTGTAATAACCTGCTTGCAAACCTCTCTCATACCCCAAAATTTTTTTATTTTTTAGGAAAAAATATAACTTAAAATAAAGTTTAAAAATTATTTCAATCTTGTGAATCCATTTCTCTATAATTGATATTACATAAAATTAAAATCAATTAATGTTATTTTTTTAAAGTACATGCCATAACAAAAAATGAAAATGTAAACTAACATAACAAGTATAACATTTAACCACAAAAATATTAACAAGAAGGATTATATTATTTTATCATAAAAAAATCACATTATCAATTTCATATTACATCTATATAATTATATTATATTATGTACTTTATATTTATACATGTAATATTAAAAAAATTAAACAAAGGGTGGGGGATAGGGCACGGGTGTCCTTGCCGCCCACCCCTCATTTAAAAGCAAGGGAAGAAAAGCTCCCTCCGCCCTTGCCCCCGTCCCAGTGAACTCTCGTAGGCACTGCCTTGTTGCCATCCCAATGAAAATAGTTTGTTACTTACAAAAATTTCAAGAACTGCTATTAATTGTCATTAACTTCTCATATTCTCTCAATATTTTTTCTTAATAACCAAATGTTTATGAGAAACTCATTTTCATTTTCCTTTACCTCATTCATCAATGAAAGAGTTCCCTTTGAACATATAAGAGTCCCAGTTAGTTTAAATTAACAAATTAAGTGGATTCCACTTAACATGTCCAAATGAAACTTTTATATTGATTTTAAATCAACTATTAGACATGTCTAGTAATTGTTCGGAACTCACATAATACTTCTAGTCCAATAGGCATCCGTATATCAAACCTTACTTAGAAAAGTACTAACTAGTACCTGTTTCTCACCCACGGCAAAATCCATTGAAACTAGAGCAAGCAGCTCAAGCCTTACGAAGCAAGTGCCTAACTCATTCAATCGATATGATTAGAGATATAGATTAAGAATTTACCATGCTGGAAATTACAAACAATGAGGTATTCTTCTTTGGACATTATGTTATATGAATAGAAAAATGTCAATCAAAATGTATTAAATGCTAGGTTTCTCAACTCTCGATTATTTTCTTTTTTAAATCTATTTGTAACTATAATCCAATTCCGAAAGCACTACAAAAATTACTTAGAATCTCTTAATTTGTCTCCGTTTATTGATTTAGTTTGCTATAATCCAATATGCTCATTAGACACTTGTGTAATTGCGATCTTTAATGATACCAATCAAAATGCATTAGAAAACACTGGCTGAACTAGCAACTAACCTGTGGGGGTGTAAAACTGTTAAATTGTATACTTCAAAGGAGTTGTCTTGCAATTTTTGCAAAACGTTAGGGGGCAAAGCTAATTTGGTCAAAGGTATAATTCAAAATATTAACTATTTTAAGAGGATATAATAGATTTTCTAAAGATCAAGATCTAAATTTTATAAGGATATATGTGAAATTTTCAAAACTTTTTGAAGGTATATGAACGAATTTGTAAAATCTTGGGGGGTGGTTGCCCTTCCCCAACCCACCTACCCTAAAACCGAAAAGACTTCCGCCAGTTTTAGAAATGATACAGGCTGTGTCTATGGTACGAGAATAAGAACATAGGTTGGAATTTTTCATCTCTACTTTTGTTGATTTCATTGAAATTCGCGTGGGACCAATATGTACAGAAGACTTAGACAGGAAATTGTAGAAGAGTATGAAATGGAATTGTTCTTATTAAAAAAAAAGGAACTGTTCTCATTAATCATATACCGCAAAAATAGCCGTAATAAGTAGGCATTCGGTGTTAAGTTTCAAGATTAAAGGGATTTTATTTTTTTAGGTGATTGAGTTTTAATTCAAATAAGCCCCCGAAAATGGAAACAAGAGTCAAGAAAGAAAGAATTGAAAGCAATTCAAAACGAAAGAAATATGGAAACAACTTAAGAAGTTAAATATCCTTTCTCGTGAAAAGTAATTAAATTAATTCATTAACTTGCCTTCAGAATTACACAATCTAACGCATTCCCTGAATGTCAAGTCTTGCCACAATCTAACGCCTATAGCTATACGGGTTTGTTGCCTAGAAATACCCATGGAGAGGTAAAAGTAAAACGTGTGGAGAGGTAAAAGCTCTCTATTTTATTTATGCTAAACACCTTATAGAGAATACATAAAAAGACAGATATGGATAGTAAGTTCGATATAAACTACGCATATTAATTAATTAATGCGTCTACCAACTAGTAAATCCCATTCTCGTAATATAAGGTTTCAAACTCCGGTAACTTGTCATCCAATTTCAGTTTTGATTAGAAGTTGAAAAATATATGAAATCTGTCACAAACATAGAAAACAAGAAAAAATTAACCAACAAATGTAGTATCTGTGTATGTTTCTTCCAACATTACGGAAGAAATTTTCAGTCTAAACCGTCTATATGCCACTAATGAAGTCTTTCGAATATACCCTGACTAAAATCAAATGAGAAAGACAGTATATCCACTAAGTGGTTGTAATGACCAGAAAAGAAAAGGATATATTGTCCTCATTCTTATTTTGTAGGGTTCATCTAATTTAAATGTCACATACCTAACCCACACATACCAAATACGTGACATCCATCGTATCCTAAAATTCCATCTGAGAAATACAAGGCAATATATCAAAACAAGTAATACCAATCTAGAAAGTGTTAATATTAGTAAAAACTATTTATAGTGCGGTACAATTCCCAACTAGAAATAGTCTAAAATATTCAAATGAGTCCACACGCTCAACAAGTAGTAGAAATAAGTCATAGAGTGTTAAACGTTCTAATTAACATATATAGTAAATATGTGAATGCCAATCCCTCCAATTGAACCCAATTGCTGATGTGGCACGCTGTGATTGGCCGATTGATGGTAGTCCTCCGTTGATTGAGCTGATGAATTGAATTGAGGACAAAATCGAGATTTCACGCCTTGATGAATAGGTAGGGTTCCTGAGAGTTTTCGCTTGCGCCGCTTGTTCTACCGGTCTTCTTACCCACATTTTTCCAAAACCACTCTATTTCCTTTTGTCTCATCTCCATTCCTTCCATGGATTTCCTCCATTTTTTTCTCTGAAAAAAAGAAAAGAAACAGACTAACAGCGCACCGTTTCTATTCTTCCTTTCTTCTTCATTTTTCCCCTCTTTTAAAGATTATTCGAAAAAATGACGCTCAAAACCCACCTTTTATTCTCTCTCTTTTTTTTTTCTCTTTTTGTCTCCTTATCCTGAGATAGGAGAACCTCGAAGATTTGGTCGATCTTGATTGCTCAACTGCTCACATTTGGATTTTCTTTTTCTGTTTCTGATCTCCATCCCTTTTCCTCATAAACCTATGATTTTTTTCCCTCTCTCTACACAGAAAAATTTCTATTTTTTCTAAATTATTTTTCTCTTTATTGGGATATGATTACCTTGGAGATCTTTCTTATCTGATCTATTTTCGATCCGCTGATCTCGCCATTTTTTAGTTTAAAAATTTTCCTTTATTTTGACCGATTTTCTTTATTCTCTAATCAATTTCATGTTTGTTTCAGGGTGCAGGTTTAAGGTTTGCATTTTGTTATCTGGTATCTTCAATCACTACAGAACCCGTCAGGTAAGAGATCTCACATGATGTTTATTTTTCTCATGGCTTTTTTGACTATGATTATTTTGTTCTTATGGAATTTTTTGTGATTATCTCAGGTAAAAAAAACATAAGGAAGGCCACTGAAGGAGGAATTATAGTTAGTTTCTTGCCCTTACATTTTTTTGGGTTATTTGGCTGTGATAATATAGTGATTTTTTTACTCGTTTCTTCCTTCAACTATAATATGAGAAAATCCAATATTGTTCATACTGGTATCAACTATTTTTTTGTTAGAAAAGTTATGGATCTAAAGCTTCGTTCCAACCATATTTATTTGTTGCCCCCATCCTCCTTTCTGAGCGCATATTATATTAGAGATGAAAAATAATCATTATAGGGTTTTCTTTTGTATGGAATAAAATTTGATCATATTTCTCCCAAGGACGGCTTTAAGGTATCCTGCAATTGGGGGCTCTCTTTCTGGAAAATTTTGTTTATTGCATGTGAATTAATTTCCTTGATCTCTTTTTTCTTCTTCTTTTGGTTGGCAGTGATCTCTCCATACCTTTGCTACTGGTTTTATTGGTCTAAGTTTTAATAGTTCTCATGGAGTTGTATTTATATTTACTTAGTTTGCTTTTATTTTTTGCCGTTTCTTTGAGAGCCCTTATACAAACTTATGATTTGTGTGATTTGCTGGTTTACTTTCAGCTACTACATTTCTCATTGTTTTTGGGTAATTGTTTAATAACCATCTATTTTACTTATTTGTTTCAGGTTCTCTTTGTGAACTTTTTACCCTTTCTTCCATATTTTTCTTGCACGATGAGGTGAAATAGTTACAAGCTATCAGAATATATCACTTCAAGAGGTGGAAACGTTTTCAATTCTGATATTTTTGTACCTGAGCACAAGAATGTATAGAAGGTCTGTTGCTCTATCATGTACTTACTTGTATTTTAGCACATTTCAATTCCAAGTAAATAAGCTCATTTTATGCTTTCTTTTTTTGGAATATTTGGCTTATGTTTGAGGTACTATTTCGGTAGGTTTAGCTTGAAGTTATAGTCCCTTTTGTGATTTGCCCCTCATCCTTCAACTGGTGGATTATGTTTAGTTGATCTGGTGGATTATGTTTATTAGATTTAATGACGCATGGTTTCTTTTTTTCATTAACAATACCTTTGTTCTTATGATCTTTTGCCTCTTAGAAAAGTATTTTGTGTCACTGCTATTTTTTTATCTGATTTGTATTTTTATGTTATTGCCTTTGTAGGAAGGAAGATGACAGCACCTACCTTTCATTCTTTTCTGTTCTGTAGAGGTATATTCTTTTGAAGTTTTTTTTAACTCTTTTTGGCTGATAAGAATGTTCTTTTGATTTCTGTTTCTCAAGTCTCAAATCTTTTGAATTTTTTTTGTTTTACCATTATTTTTGTAGGAAGCAAGAGGGATTTATCACTGTCTGAAAAAAAAAGAAACATTTTTTGAGTAAATAGACTCGTCAAAAAAGAACACTGGATATTCAAATAATATCTGAGTAGCAGTATGAGTTAGTAATCAAGGCGCTCATACCTAATGACCTCAATTTTTGTGATTTATCCCTTTTGAGAATTGGTGACTTCATGTTAGTGTTTCTCTCGCGTTTTAGATTGTGGCCAACTATTGGTTGTTTTATAACGATTATAGAAGAATCAGGTTTTAGATTTAGAAAGGCTTTTTTTCAATAACATAATTCTACTAAATCTACTGCGTTGTTTGGAGATGTGGCAAAATTATCACATCACATTGCTTGGAAACTTTCTTGTGTTGTTATAAGAAGTGCGAAAAGTTTTCAGAAAATGCTGATTTATTCTTGTAAATATTTTCCTTTTTGACTTATCAGATATTACCAGAATTCTTATGTAATTATACGTGTCCTTTTATGTAGTACATTGCATTTGGATCCATTTGCTTAAGGTGGTCCAAACCCTTTCATGTATTCACCTATGATGCAACAAAAAAAGTATTTTTGGTCCTTAATTGTTGCTATTGTAAGGTTTAGGTCCTTTGTTTAGGTTTTAGATTTAGAAGCCTTTTTCTAATAACATAGTTCTACTGTATATGCTACGTTGTTTGGAAATGTGGTAGAATTATCATATCACATTGTTTGGAAACTTTCTTATGTTGTTATAGGAAGCACGAAAAGTTTTCAGAAAATGCTGATTTATTCTTGTAAATATTTTCCTTTTTGACTTATCAGATATTACCAGATTTCTTATGTAGTTCTACGTGTCCTTTTATGTAGTAGATTGCATTTTGATCCATTTGCTTAAGGTGGTCCGAACCCTTTCATGCATTCACCTATGATGCAGCAAAAGTTACTTTGAAGGTTTTTTTGGTCCTTAATTGTTTGCTATTGTAAGTTTTAGGTCCTTTGTATCTGTTTAGATTACAAACTAATTTTTTACTTCAAAAAGTGGCTTAGGGACGATGTTTTCCTATTGCATCAATGTGATTTGGATGTGAAATTTTGAAAAAAAAATAAGGTGTTTAGTGCTTAATTCCTATTGTTTTACTTCTTTTTTGCGATTTAACATATGCTATGCTAGATTTGATGGTGTAGCATAAGAATTTTAACTTTATTTATTTTCTACTAAATCCCAGATGTTTATTATGGGTTGAGATATTAAAATTTACAACATAGTACAAAAAGATTTATAGGCCCTTTTTTTTGAACAAAAAAATGTTAATCTGTTTAGTGTAGATCCAAGGTTTTGTCTTCTTCATTTTTTCCCCCTAATAAATTTGCTCTTGCCAACATTTTTTATTCTAAGTCTTTGTTAGATGAAGGAAGAAAAGGTAAAGGAGGCTACTTTTCTTCAGTAAGCCTTGATGGTATGTTTTAATGTCCTTTTTTTGTGTGAACAGATTTTTTTCATTGCAACTGGCTGTAACTTTATGCTTTCTTTATCCTGTTATTAGTCTTTAAAAAAGTGAAGGGTGAAAATTTGAGACGGCATCCTATTTCCTCGAGATCCAAAGTTATTTTCTTTTACTTGTTTTACTTACTCCATTTTTACTGTTTTGAGTTCTCTGTTTGAGAATCATACAACCTAATTTCTTTTTTGCAAAATTCAACTCGGACATATTATTGCTTGTACACTTGCTGTTCGGCTTGTAGTTTTGCTTGTTTCCTTTTTCTAGAGATGTTAGTTCTGTTTCTGTTTTTTCAGCTTTTGGTTATTTGTCAACCTTATTGATGTGTTGCAAGATTTACTTTTTTTTTTGTCAACTCAATAGTGGCAAAGAGAGTAAACTAATTTGTTTTCTTAGGTAATTTGTAGTTTGCCTTTTGTAACTATTGCAAAGATTTTGATACATCTTTATGGAACTTTTTATAATAAATTTTTTAATTTGAATAATTGAATGTTTCTGGGCAAGCTTGAAAATTACACCGCGCATCGCGCGGTGTTCTCCTCCTAGTATATCCAAAAGCGGCATCGCTACTGAATCCCAAAGACATATGATCTAGTGGAAATCATCTTCCGGGGTCTTCGATGTAGACTATCTTATAATTCTCTAGGTTTGCAAAAATGATATAAGAATGGATTGAGCAATAAACACCAGTAGGCAGAACATACTCCTCTGCTGGACTATGTAGTTGTAGCATAATATAGATTAATAACATTTGTACATTCTTCACATGCATATTTGTTCAAATACATAACCAAACTAATATCACGTAATATTAGTGAATGGCAATGGCAACTTGTGATTCATAGCATTGTATAATCGTACATAAGAAATCTCATGATAAGGCATAATTTGTAATATATTTATTTGTATAAGTTGCTAATTATTTATGCTATTTAAGCTTTAATTCAAATGAAAGTTACTTATTTTTTGTTCTTATATTATTTTAATAGGTGGAGAGCTTAAATGGAGAAAGTGGATCAAACTTGGCATCAGGAATTTAGCAAAGGAGCAACAAAAGAAGAAGGACCAAAAACAAATGAGGGATGCTAAAGTTACATGGATCCGCGGGTGGATCCACAGCGATCCGCGGGTGAATCCATGTCCTACGCTGATCATTTGTTTGGACTTCACGCCAGATTTCGTCTGATTCTTTTATGTTTCGACCTTGGCCCAATGTCCACACCAGATTTTGGCCGGTCTTCATGGGAAAATGCATAAAAATGTGATTTTTCAATTCCAATAAAACCTAATCCTACCCAAATTAGAATATATTTTGAAGAAACTATAAATAAGGGCATTCTAGGTCGCTTTTAGCTTAGAAAACATTGGGGTAAAGTTTATACAAGAAATTTAGCCTTGTGTGACAACATTCTTAGTGACAACAAAGAAACTTGTCACAATTGAGTAAATTTAGTGACGGCTTTTGATGTTATCATAGTTGATCAAGGGTAGACTCGTCACTAGTGATAACACGGGGTTAGTCGTCACAATATGTGTGGCGCACAACTGGCCGGTGTGGTGGGAAATCACCATTGTGATAACTTGAAAAAACATTGTCATTGAAATGGACCCTACAGTGACAACTTACAATGTCGTTACAATGGAATTACTGGTTCAAAGTTAGTGACAACAATTAGTCGTCATTGTCTAAAGTACTTGTTCTTAACTCATTTTCATTAATTCTACTATGGCATCCTAATTTTTTCAATATGGCCCATATGTTGTAAATGAATTTTATTAATTCTATTACAACACCCTAACCTTTACATTTTAGCCCCATATGTGGTAAACTAATTTCATTAACTCTACCATGACACCTAATCTTTTGCAATTTAGCCTCATATGTGATAAACTGATTTCATTAGTTCTATTATGGCACCCTATCTTTACACTTTAGCCAATGTTTTTTATTAGCAAAATGAGGAAGGTATTGTAATAAAAAATGTATACATATTTTACAATTGTTCCAAACTTAGATAATAACTTGTTATAAAGTTAAAAAATATCATGGATTCCCTATCTAGTTCTCTTGACAAACATGGAAAATTACTGATTCGCATAGTGTGAAAATAATGGCAAAGAACAATAAAATTTAATATGAAATTAAGTAAAATCTTGACAATAGCATGACTGGAGTTTATTACTAATTACAATAATCATATTGTTTATGGTTTATGAATCGGTACTTGTACCAAATACATTTAGTGTTTCATGCATGTATTAGCAAACTATTTTGGTTATTCTATCAACTAAACAGATTGTTAGGTCTTGTCAGACCACAATTCGTACATAATTGATAAAATTATTAAATTGATACCAAAATATTTGCATTAAAAGATTTTTTAATTCATAAACATATTTTTAATAACCTTTTTAGTTTTTGAACATTATTTTTTCATAGAGATCCAAAAAAACCTAGGTTAGTAAAAAAAATTATCCTAAAACACTAAGTTTTCATATTCCAAAGTTTTAATACAACTTGTGAGCTAAAAAAGCTCAAAATAATAAACAATCTTAATTACACAAAGATGAGGAATAGAAAAAGAGAGATATTAGAGAAGGCGTTATTTTTGTAAAGAAATGTTCAAATAGTTTGTACAAAAGAGGATGACAATGTTATTTTTTGGTCTTAGCTAAAATGGAATCAAGAAGCTAAAAATTTAAGGAGTAGAGGCGGGTGAACAAAAGAAACAGAAACAATGTCGTTTTGGCAAGAGTTAAACAAAACACTCTAACACTTAGAAAATTTTTAGACAAAACTTCCTTTCCTTCTTCTTGCTAGCTTCGAACACTATCATCTTCTCCTTCTCTCCATTATCATCTTGCTGAAATTATCTAGAAAATCACTTTAAGCCACCATTTTCATTCCTAGTTTGAGCTACCAAAAAGATTTTGGCAACTTTAGTAGAGTCGCAGATAGCAAAAATCTCTAGATCGATGCAGTACTTGCTTATTGGCAAGAACACAGAAAAATGACCATGAATTTTGAGAGAAAGCCAAAGTTTGAAGACTGAATCTTAAGGAAAACAAGAGCTAAGGTTGTCACAGCATAATTTGAGGTAAATAATCTCAATATTTTCCATCTAATTTTGATATTTTCTATCAAATGTAGGTCAAGTGAGCTGAATCTTGAGTTTATGGGCCCAATTTTCCACTTTAATCTTTCAATAGTGAGAGATTGAGAGAATTGTGAGAGTGAAACGAAGTGGAAGGGAGGGTCTCCACCTCTTCCCCTACTAAGTCAAAGGAAGAGATTAAGATTGAATTGGTAAAGTTGGATCAATTTTGTAAGATTTATGTGTACCATCTATACTCAAATGGATCTTGCTCAAATATCTTACAGTGACATGGCCTAATAGATCAACCAGCTTTAAATGTTATTTGTGACAAGCAACCTTTAGGTGTTATTCATAAGTAAACAAGATCCTACTTAGAATATGTACTATCACATAAGTAGTAGTCATTCAGTCTAGATTTTGTAAGAAAAACAATGTCTTCTTGGCAGCAAAGGAAAATGCAACATGTGTGAATCAATTTGATGAACAACAAGTACGGTTTGATAATGCTATTAATAGTGTAATATGAGCTTTCTGAATTGTTCAACTGTGGTGTACTTTAGATCTTAGAAGGAACTAGGATCTTATGAAGTTGATCAGTCAGAAAAGCATCTTCTTGGCTTTTCTCAACAAATGCTACACTTTAGGCTCAATTCTATTGAAAAATGAGTACAATTTGAACACTGTAGTTAGTGTTACAGCATAAGCCTTCTGCACTACACATCATACATATTGTTGTGGTGCTTTAGATCTCACAGGATAACCAGGATCCTACCTAAAATTGGTTCTATTTCTTATGAACTAACTTGTACTGTTAAGCAAATGCTATTCTGAAGCAATTTGATATGGTAAGAAGTGCAATTAACTTGTTGCAGCTGGTCTTAATGTAAGCTTTCTGCAATCATTTTAAATTAGATCTTATATGAAAACTAGGATCCAACCTGGATTGTAGTATAAAATAAGTTGTTTAGTCTGCATGGTATCTTATTGGCTTTGCGATGCTAACGTTAGCACATTCAGAACATTTTGATTCAAGAACAGGAGCAACTTGATCACCCTAATAGGTTTCAAATTTAAAATCTGCAATCAGAAAAAGTGACGCTTATATTGTTGGTATTTTGGAACTGAAGTAGGACTCTGCTTTTACAAGAATTCTTCCAACAAGAAAAACTAGATAAACTGAAGAGAAGGGAAACTCTATTTTGTTGAATTCAGCAATTAGTAAAACCTCTGCATTTTATCATCAAATCTACAGAGCAACAATTTTCTGTTATGAGTATAATGAATATCAATGTGCTAATTAAATGACTAGTTTTGGTGCAATTCTTCAAGCAACTCTCTGTGCAACAATGTGGAATTCCTCGTGCAAATTAATAAACAACTGCAGAAAAGGTACCTCTCAAAAAAATGACCTTCCTTGTGCTTTTTAGTTCTCAACGGTTGGAATAGGTTCTCATTTATGCAAGAATTTCTGTTTCCAAGGGATGATACTTGAATTGGATGAAATTTTGTGAAATTGAAGAAATCTCATTATGATGAAGTCATTTTTAATTTGATAGGTTGGAAAACTCTAGGTCCTCTCAAGCTCTAGTAATTTGCTAAAATGCTAAAAACTTTGCTATATTGTAAAGTAGAAAGATTATACCTTTTATGATCAAGGTCCTTATTAAAGGTTAAAGGCACATACAGAAATTTAGGCCTTATTTGACTGATACAAACATGGCTAAATGCACATACGGTGCTCTGTTTAGGCATTATTCAACTGATTTTAAAAAGGCTCTCACACACTTTAGACACTCCTCTTCACAGAGGAACTATATCCAGTCTGTTTATCATAATATCGATTCCAAAGCATAATGCTATCATATTTTGGTGACCCTTTGGCAAATTTCAGAACCTATGATGTTAGTACTTGCTTTGGGACATAACCATTTCCGACATCTGCCTTTGCCTTTGAAGCTGGAAGACCAATGAAAAACTCCTTGCCTGTACTGAAGATGTCTATTGCTTCCATGAGTTTTTGAAGTTGTCTGGATTGTCGGAGTCGAACTCACAAGATGGATTGTCCCCTATGAAACGAACTGTCCAGACTCCCTGAGAAAATTCATGTTTGAATTATGGATGTGGAAATTTTACCTATAGCGAACTGTTTTTTTTGAGTTTGACACGTTAATAACTGAAGCTTTTTTGTGTGGTTGACAACGATTTATTATAATTGTTAATAACATGTTCTTTTTTGCTAGACATTTTCAGTTCTGATTCTATTTCTAAGAGTGGTTATATACTATAATGCCTTACATCAACTGATATTGAGGTAATAATGCTTTAATATTCTACAAGTCCAATGTCCTTTTGGGAGCCAATTTGTTCTTGAGTTTCCAAGAGTAGAAGAGCGTTGCTATCCACCCTGTAGCTGTATTTGTCAGAGAAGTTAATAAGGGGAGCAAGAATAAGCCAATCTATAATGGCTTATATAGTTACATAAGCCATTACTAATAAAGTAGTAGTTTCGCTAATAAAGTAGTAGGGCTTTAGCCAATCTACTTGTAGTGTTCAGTAGTTTGCATAATGTTTCTCTGCACAGCTTTGCTAGAATAAGTCCCATTTTTGGAATTTACAGTTATATCTGACAAAATTAGTTGCCACGCCCCATTTTTGAAAGTAAAAGAGAAAGGATGTTAAAAAATGAGTTTTTGGATTTTAGAAAATAAAGAAAAAGGGTCTAAAATGAGGCTTAGAATATGCTACGGTTTGAGTCCAAAATAATAGTCTAAAAAGGGTTTTTTAAAAAAGAGAATCACCACTTAATATTGAGTTTAAGTGTACCAAGTCACCTAAAATATATTTTAAATAAAAACAAATAAAATTCTTTTAGACAACTCCAGATCTTTGAAACGAGAGAGAAAAATTCGGCAGTCACAGTTGAAGAAAGGGAAGACAAAGATTAAATCTAAAGCACTCTTTCAACCTAACCAAGGTTAGTTGTGAGATTTAGTCGAAACTTTTCCTAATTCTAACCTATAAAACTTATAATATTTGAATACTTCTATATGGATGCAAACTTAGACCTAGAGAGATATCGAGAGGAACGAAATATCTCTTCAAAATTTAATTGGTGCAAATAATATTAATTGTGAAGCCCAAAAATGATTCCTTAAAAAGGTCACGAACGTACAAATGATGATACTCGAAAAAAAAATGATGATATATAGGTAAGTATACATGACTTAGAAGAGGGGAATGCAATATAACAAGTACGGAAGACTAAGATTCGTGATGCAATTTTCCTTCTTATAGAGGGGTAATAGCTTACTAAGGTTAAAAAGCTATACTCACCCATTTTTCGTATTTGAATGGTAACTTTTTTAATTTAGACAAGCAAATGAACTAATCTATTTTTTTAATTATCTAAATGTAATGCAAACCTAAATGATATGATTTACACACATAAGGATAAGAGAATAAGAAGACACATCATGCAAATGGAAATAATCTAAAATAGAAAAAATACATGAAATGCAATAAATGCCACACAAAGGTATGAATCTAGCACATAAATAGTCTAAAGGGTCTAGCGTTGGACTAATCCATTTCTACAAATTCTCACTAGCGTTAGACTAGTGAGAAATCGGGGAGAAACGCCACAACTAGTGTGGTGATGTCATACACTCATTATAAATAAATAAAACATATAAAGCATAATTAAACCAGATAAACACATAAAACACATAGAGCATGTAGAGCACATAACACATAAGCATAATATTTAGATGCAAAACTCTAGAAAAAATGAATAAAACACATAAGCACACAATAATTGACTATTACATTGGGGGCCCTAACTACGATTTAAAAGGGGAAATATAGATAATAAATCTAACCTATCTATTACATTTATCTACCTAATTACATTTCTTGCAACAAATAAAACTATCTATTACATTGGGAATCTAATTACATTTCTTGCATAAAAGGATATTACCTATCTATTACAATTTGGGCATTTAGATACCCTCCAAATATTTACAAGACTTAAATTAAACATGCATAAAATGAATAAAAGCTTAAAGTAAATAAGTGAAAGAAAAAAAACACACAAACATATAAACACATTAGAGCACATAAGAGCACTTAAAAGAATTTAAAGAGTAATAGGTATACCTCTCTTTTCAAGTAGTGGATAAATGAGGGGAAGGGAGAGTTGTCTATCTTTCCAAAATCAACAAACGGATCAATACACTAATTTAATTGACAAAACTTTGAAAGAGAATGAAAACATATACTAAATTCGCCTTATTATTGCAAAACTGTTAATAAACATAAGACATCTAGAATTTACAAATTAAATGTTTTTAAATGAAGCACAATTAACAATTAATGAAGAGAAACAATTGTAATTGAGAAATCAAAAGACTAATAGGGACTAAATTGCAAAATTTAAAAAAATTTTGGGATTAAATTATAATTCTAAAAAATATTAGGGCTCAAAATTAAGTAAAAATAAAGTTTAGAGATCAAAATACAATTAAATTAAGGACCTAAGTCAAATAATTCCAAAATTTTAAGACTATAGTATAGTACAATTACTCAAAAGATTAGGAGCCAAATTAGAAAATTCATTTATTCCATAAGACAACAATATTGGCCCATTTTAACATACTTGGGCCAAACAACTCCAGCCCAAGAGAAGAGTGAATATTGTCTTGTAAAAAAAACAAAGAAAATCCAACTAAAAACCCGAGAAACCTTTTAATAAACGCATTGGGCTTAACCACTCTAACCCAAACAAAACCCAAACAAAGAAAAAACTCCAACCCATGTAAAAATAATGAACAAGCCCACATCTCTTTTTTATTTTCTTTTTCTTTCTTTTCTTTCCTTCTTCCTCTTCCCTCTCCTTCTTCTTCTATGGCAGATTGAAACTTCAGCAGCCGGCGGCCATGGCAGACGCCGCTGCAGCAGGACCGCCATCGGCGATATTTTTGGTTACAAAAACTCACCAAAATACATCTCCCCGCTCAATTTTTCACGGAAAATTCATTTCCAGCCCTAGTTTTTACAAAAAATAATGAATGAAAAACGCTCAAAAGAGCAAATTACAGCTGGGTTTTGTGTTTTTTAAAATCATTCAAATCTTCACCAAAATTTCAAATAATTTATACCAAAATACTCCGTGTGATTTCTACAATCCAACCATAATTGACGGTTTGCAACAGGAAGTGCAAATACAAAAGGTTAAAAAACAAGCAGTAGCAAAACTCAATCTTTTTTTTTCGGACATTTTATCAAACACGTGGAATGCATGACATTAAACACTACTTTTACTTGTAAAAAGCTCACATAAGTAATCCATGAATTCAAGAAGCAACCAACAAACCATTCATCAAATTTTCAGTTTCATTCACAAGACTCGACATCGACCAAAATCAAGAGGAAAATATATGATGCATACTTTCACATTTTTGCATTAGAAACTTGAGAGGAAGGAAGGGAGAACCTTTACAATGTCTTGTTCTTCAATGGCAACCCCGGCTGTAAGGATCGAAGACAACCAAGTGGAAGAGATAAACAATGTACAGATCACAAACGTAACAATAAGTAAATAGAAAGGAAAGAATTGCAAACCAATTAACTACCCAACTCCTCTTGAGCTTGTAGATTAATTCAAATAAGCTTCTTCAAGTTGATGAATTACAATCACTCTTGCGTACAAAGGAAGGTTCACCTCCTTCTTGCCCCGAACACCACTCGGTCAAGCTAGGAAGTTTTACTATCTCTCAGGACAACCCTCACAGAGCTACACTCATGAAATATTCACTCACAAATGAAAAGCTTACAATGAACCTCACACCACTAAGACTACAAATCTTCTTTGAAGAGTATTTTCTCACTAAAATCACTCTAGATCTTTTGTATCTTCAGTGTGCAAAAGTTGTTTGAAGTATCTGACCAACCACTATTTATATAGGACCAAGAAAGTGTCTTATTAATGCTTCCAACGGATAGAAAGTAGCTGAAGAGTCAACTAGTCATTGGAGTATCGGACGTCCGGTAGTCCTGTTTTTTGCGTCCGACAGCAAGCAGTGAGATAAAGAGTTTTTCTTCAATTTTTTCGGACGTCCGGTATGCTGATTTTCTGCGTCCGAAGGTATGATGTAAAACTGGGAATTCTTTTTCAATTCGTTAGGACGTCCGGTAGGCTGATTTTCTGCGTCCGAAGATACTCAATGGTTGTCGGACGGCCGATGCAGTCTTTTTGTGCGTCCGACAGTTTCAGCATACTTTGTCCCTTTCAAATGTGTTTAATCTTTGAACCTGATTTGTTTCATTTCTGAAAAGGTCTTTGAGGAGATGTTAGTAACATCCATTTGTTTTGTAATCATCAAAAGTTAGGGACCAAGGTCAACATTCTCCCCCTTTTTGATGATGACAAAACAATGGATGGAAGAAGGAAAAAATTGAGCAAATAAGCATAACCTCCCCCTCACACATAGCATCCAAAATTACAAATTCAGAATAATTCCCCCTCACACATAGCATCCATATCTCCCCCTTTTTGTCATCATAAGATAAGAGTAAAAATCAACTACCAAAATCCAGCAACAATAACAGAGAATCTAATATTCAAAATAAAAACAGAGAAATGACAGCAATCACCGACATATCACAGCAAATCATCATGAGATCAGCATTATTCTTTTTTTTCCCTTTTTGATATCATACAAATTCAGTAAAAAATCAAAAAAAACTCAGTTCAAAATATCAGAAACATCAAAAGAGAATTACAAAAAAGTATTATAAACAAGAATCTCATCAATCTTACCAATATCTCCTACTTGTTAGAGTTAGTATCATGTCTAACTATCCACATGCATTTCATGCTTCTTCTCATATTTTTTTCTCACATAACAATCACTTTTCATGTGACCTTTTTGACAACAAAAATTATACATAACCAAGAAATTATTTATATAAACAGGTTTAATAAATCTTACTTGTCTTCTCTTATAAATAGCAAATTCGTTGGAATTAGAATTCAATCTATTCTTTTGAAAACAGACTTGTTTCTTGTGTTTAAGCAATTCATTTAGACCATCCATTTTTTTTTTCAAATCACCTTGTTCCTTTTTGAACAATTCACAAACCTTTATTTTTCTATCAAACTGCAAGTGTAAAGTAGTCTCACTATTTTCGAAATAATCATTTTCAACTTTCAACTTTTTGTTTTGTTGAAAAAGATTTGCAT